TGTTCTTGTAGTTTGGTTCCCTGACCCCACTTTAGATGAAACGGAGCAAGCATGACTTTAGGAAACTGTAAGGTCAGAGAACTTCAGTCTAGCAGGCTTGTACCCCTTCACAGGTGTGTAATCAATTGCAAAGAAAACGCAGGATAACTAATTTTGAAAAATTAGCAGCAGTTTTTGAAAAAAGCCAGATTTCTCCAACGCTGGTCGGCCGACCAGCGTTGGAAAAATACCATTTTTCTTGAAAATGACAGTACACCAGGAGCCACAATTTTACAGGATGCTTTAGACTGTCATTCCCTAACAATCTAGTGAGGTATTTCGTGATTGTTTGATCATTTCGTTTTGTGATGTTTGCAAATGTTGTATCTGCCCTTTAAAGCAACAAAATTAAAAAGTTGTCAGGGGATAAAATGAATCTGTTTTTTTTTTAGAGTGCATGAGGCACGCATCCTTTTTTAAGAATGACTGCAAAATAATACGCTTTAAACGCTAATCCTTTTTAACGAATGACTGCGAAATAATACGCTTTAAACGCCAATCGAGTGGCATTGTGAAATGGCTACAAAACATGTCGAATATGATGGATTGGGGTATATGTTGAACATGTATTGGGTTTTCTAAAAGTTCACTGTATAGATTTACCGACATGGGAGATATATGAAAAACCTATACAGAATGAATATGCACTGATTAATCACTTCACGCATTTCGACCAAATTACACTTTTAACAGTTTATTTAATCCCCTTAACAGAAATACTTGTACAAAAGGTCACGTGTATGTTGAATATTAGTACTTATTATGGCATCAACCTCGAAGAGGGGGTGGTCTTTAGACCGATCTTCCCACACAGGCTGTATGAAGTCCGAAGTTTAAACATGCCTTAGCTTGCCACCAAATGCACTCATGTAGCGTACCTAGCTGCTGAGTATAACCATTACGTTTGGGGGAAATAAGAAAATAACAGATATAACGATATTGTTTAATTAAGGTAGAGAAATATGTTTAGTTTTACTTATCAATTTGAACACAATGTATGTTTATATTCGTTGTTCCTGTGCTCTTCAACCCAAACATATACATGTATGTCTCATATTTTATCGGGGCAAAATTACCCTCTTTAGAAAAGGCTCCCTCTTTTTTTATTCATCTTTTATCAACGCTGACCTCACCCTGAACCTTACCCCATTACACACTATTTACACACTACATTTATATAAAATGAAGAACTATGATCAAACTTCTGTAAGTCACTCCTAACCATGAAGATAGCCCGAGAGCCGAGGGATTGAAATTTTATGTACTTGTACATACCAACAAAACCCAGATGACCTTTTATACGTGTACGATTGCGATGTTGTGGATATGAACTTTAGGCCTGACCCAAGAGACTCAAATACTACGCCCGTAGGTATGGTAACGAACTCGTTAATACACAAACCATATGGCTGCAGGTCTTTGGATGGGAATTTCTTAACGGTTAAACTGTATAATATAGTTGCCTCAAAATGTACATCAAACTTAATTTTACAGCAATTCTAGTAACAAGATCATGGGCTAATTTTAAGTTAAAAGATAACTGAGCTAACAATTAACGTTCTTGGCTAGTATCTTGACAATATTGTTAAATTTTGATTATTTAATCAAATTGAAAATGGCACATGAATATACGCAAGTCAAAGCTCTCCTCGGATTTTACAATGTCACATTTTGCCATTTGCAAACAGTCTTCTCGCACAAATTTACCGAACTTTCCAACATAACCTATACCGTTGTTAACAAAACTCTAAATTATATGATTTCGAGAACAGTCTAAAACTCTAAAACTCTAAATTATATGATTTTGAGAACAGTCTCTCATCGGATTGGTTTATAATCTTTTTCAATATAAGAATACACAAGTTTTACGCCTACTACCAACAATATCACACAAGATTATAGGATGGTAAAGAAAAATTCCACTCCTACCTTCTAAGCAATGCCGCAGTGTAAAGCTGTATGTGGAGCTGTACTGGAGCATGGCTTCACTTGACATTAACTGGACAGCGTCCGTTATAGTTGGCTGCTAGCTTGCTGACCGAGCACAGCGATTCAAAGAGCTATCACGTGGTCAGGACGTAGAATTTGGGGTGTGACACGCATGCGCCCATATTAACATTTGTTTTTAATGGGAAACATTCACATTTCTGTTCGCTGGTGTGTGCAATGCACATTAAGAATTACTAAACCGCGCCTATTGGATAGAGGGGTTAATGAAAACACCTTGCAGCAAAACAATCCGAGATGTTGGTATCATTTCTTTTAAAAAGATTCTCCATTTAATTGTTACAGGCATGTGGCTTGAGTCTCAAGGTAGTGGACGTATTTTTCTCTTTTTTTTGGAGGGGGGGGGGGGGGGGCACCTAGCTGTTATGTGGCATGCTGCCCGACTAACAGCTGGTGGCCCACTGTCGGTGCTGGAACACCAGGCCTCTGGTGGTATATGTCACTGGCTACCGCTGGTTCTCTGCTGGCGGATTTGGAGGGGCAGGCCACTGGTGGTATGTCGCTGATTGCTGCTGGTAATCTGCTGGTTGATTTGTAGGGGCAGGCCACCAGTGGTATGCAGCTGACTGCCGCTGGTGGTCCGCTGGCGGTTTTGGAGCAGCTTGCCACTGGTGATATGCTGCTGACTGCCACTGGTAATCCGGTGGCAGATTTGGAGCGGCAGGCCACTGGTGGTATGCCGCTGATTGCCGCTGGTAATCCACTGGCGGTTTTGAAGTGGCAGGCCGCTGGTAGTATGCCGCTAATTGCCGCTGGTAGTTCCGCTGGTGGTTTTGGAGTAGCAGGCCGCTGGTGGTATGCTGCTGACTGCCGGCTACCATTGGTCGACACTGAGACCCACGCGAAGTCACGCCAAATGACGCTAATGAATATGCCAATTTGCCGCTGGTAATCGGCTGGCGGTTTTGAAGCGGCAGGCCGCTGGTAGTATGCCGCTGATTGCCGCTGGTAGTTCCGCTGGTGGTTTTGGAGTGGGAGGCCGCTGGTGGAATGCTGCTGACTGCCGGCTACGGTTGGTCGACACTGAGACCCACGCGAAGTCACGCCAAATGACGCTAATGAATATGCCAATTTGCCCTTCGTCAATATGCCAATATGCACTGTTGCCCTAAGATCAGCCAACCTGAAAACCATGCACATGAGTTAATTTGTCCTTGTTAAAATCCTCGTCAAAATTCCCCTTGGAGATAGTTCAAGGTGTAACACAAGCGTTTGCAACAACAGATTAAGCTGAAATGCGGACTATACTTAGATGATATAAGTGTTCAACTACTTGTGAAATAACAACTTGAGGGTATGCTGCTGAGTGCCGCTGGTGGTCCGCTCACGGTTTTGGAGAGGCAGGTCGCTGGCGGTATATGCCGCTGGTAGTGCGCTAGCTGTTCGGGAGCGGTATGCCGCTGGTAGATAGTATGCCGCTGATTGCCTCTCGTGGTCTGCTTGCGGTTTAGGAGCGGCAGGCCGCTGGTATGCCGCTGACTTCCTCTGGTGGTCTGCTGGCAGTTTTGGAGCGGTAGGCCACTGGGTGTACACCGCTGACTGCCTCTGGTGTTCCGCTGGCGGTTTTGGAGCAGTAGGCCGCTGGTAGTATGCCGCTGGTGGTCCGCTGGCAGTTTTGGAGCTGAAGGCGGCTGGTAGTATGCCGCTGATGATTGCCGCTTGTGGTTCCGCTGGCGGTTTTGGAGCGGCAAGCCTCTGGTGGTATGCCGCTGATTGCCGCTGGTGGTCGGCTGGCAGTTTAGGAGCGGCAGGTCACTGGTGGCATACCACTAGCCTACCACTGGCGGACCGCTGATGGTTTGGGTCGGCATGCCGATGCCGACAAGCCACTCCCCAGCCACTGGTGGTCCGACGGTAGCTTCCGGACTTGGATTATGGTGTGCAGTAAAAATTTGCAGAATAGCCTCCTTCACAAGTTATTAATTAATAAATATCACCCTTTTTGCCGGCTACCATTGGGCGACACTGAGACCCACGCGAAGTCCTGCCAAGTGACGCTAATGAATATGCCAATTTGCCCTTCGTCAATATGCCAATATGCACTGTTGCCCTGATATTAGCCAACCTGAAAACCATGCACATGAGTTAATTTGTCCTCGTTAAAATCCTCGTCAAAATTCCCCTTGGAGATAGTTCAAGGTGTAACACAAGCGTTTGCAACAACAGATTAAGCTGAAATGCGGACTATACTTAAATGATATAAGTGTTCAACTACTTGTGAAATAACAACTTGAGGGTATGCTGCTGAGTGCCGCTGGTGGTCCGCTCACTGTTTTGGAGAGGCAGGTCGCTGGCGGTATATGCCGCTGGTAGTGCGCTAGCTGTTCGGGAGCGGTATGCCGCTGGTAGATAGTATGCCGCTGATTGCCTCTCGTGGTCTGCTTGCGGTACTTCCCTCATACTAAGTATCTAATTCCTAAAAATTTACATAAATACATAGATTTGGGGATGTTTGCGAACGATTTCTGGCCGACTTGAAGGTAGGCTTTACCAGTTTCGTCATCCACGACGGCGATTTTTTTTTCACTGACATGAAGCTTAGACGTTCTCCTTCCATTACAATTTTTATCATTTCAATCACACTAAGCATATTCTCTGAGAAACACAACGTTCAAAAGACCATTTTTGGGGGGGCTGCATGAATTTCACTGCTCTGTTTTAGCGTCCATGTGCGTAATCAGATTATCTTTTTTAACAACGGCGACGCTTAGGCCTTCGCAACCACATGGCTGCAAGACCAGGGGAATTACAGTTTGCTACAAATTAAGCCTACTAGCCTACAAAGTAACAGGATCCATGGGGAAAGTTAGTTAACTCAAATACCTGAGTTCCGATCAATAAGTGCAAAAATCAAGTCAGAAGGCAAGTATGAACTCTTTGCAGATACCATCCATAATTCCAAATTATTACTCGGTTATAATCATTTTTTATTTTTATAATTGTTTGTGTACAGACGTGAAAGATAAAATGGCTTTAGCTCCAAAGCAAATCAACCCCCATTCTGAGTGTGATATCTGCCAGGAAAAATACAAACGGCCCAAGGTGCTGGATTGCCTGCACAGTTTTTGCGAGAAATGTCTGGAGAATTACTACTACTCTAGTAGGTATGAAGGTCAAACAAAGATTCCTTGCCCTGTATGTCAACGGGAGACGGTACTTCCAAAGAAACGCATTCAAGGCCTCAAAACAAATTTCCATCTGATTGGAAAAGTTGACGAGGTCTCACTCCAAGAAAAGGTGTCGTGTTCAGAAAATTCAAAGGTTATCTGTGTGGTTTGTGATATGGGAAATGAGGCTATGCATCGCTGTCTGGACTGTGCACAGAATATCTGCCCAAACTGTTACAAGACACACCTGAGATGTACTGCTACATCACACCACACAGTGGCTACTCTGGAGGACATTCGTCAGGTAAAGAAAAGACCAGAAGAAGATGAGTCTAAATGCCAGAAACACAAGGGGGAAGTAAAACGGTTTTACTGTGAGACATGTGAAGAGTTAATCTGCCAAGATTGTACTGTAGTAGACCACTGTAAACCAAAACATCACTACATTGACTCTGGAAAGGCTTCTCTCAAATACAAACAGTCACTGAAAGATATGTTTCCAGATTTCACCGCAGGCATCAAAAGACTTGAACAAGCTGTGGCCACATCATCAGATGCAAAGCAGAAGTTGACACAAAACGTCACAAAGACTGTGAAAGCTGTGCAAGGCAAAGCGGATGAAATGAGAGCTGAAATAACAACTCAAGAGACAAAGATGATTGAAGAAATCAAACAACTCCAGCCGGATCGCAACAGGACATATGATGAGCATCTGTCAACAGTAACAATGATGCTACAGAGTAAACAACATTCACTGGCCACATCTCAGGATATCATTAACAATGCATCTGACATTGATTTCTTGTCCCTATACCCTATCATCAGCAAAGATTTGAAATTACTTAAGAGTCAAAATCCTCCCCAGATTGATCCCAAGCTTTCATATGTGAGCTTCACCCCCAGTCAAAGGATTGGTGACATAAATCTGGGCAAGCTGGCAGTCAAGGACAGGTGGGAGATGTGTTGTGTGTTCGGGAAAGCAGGATGTGGTCCAGAAGAGTTCAATGGGGCTCGAGGTATTACTGTTACTCAACCTGGTGAGATTGCTGTGGCAGACTGGTTAAACGACCAAGTGGTCATCGTCAGCAATGAGGGACAACATAAGGGGAGGATTCCGAGACAACCTAAGGGAAAGACTCCTCTACAACGTAAGTTTCTTTCAGTGTACATGTTCATCAAACAAACTTTAATTTCATAACTGAGGGGAAATTACAAGTTAAGTCTTCCATGTGCATATGCAGAAAATCTGACAACTGAGAATGACAACCAATAAAATGCTGGCGAGGAATTGATGTGCTGGCAGTGATTTCCAACAAGTTTTAATTTTGTTCTCCCAACAAATGTTCAATTGTTTTATTAAAACACACACAAACAATAGAACAAATCAAAACTCTTTCAATTTTTTCATTACTGATTTCAGGTCGTTTGGAAGAAAAAAACCCACATATACATGTATATATTTTGGGGGTCTGTAACCTTTAGAAAACTGTGCCCTACAGTAGAATTTTGTTTAGGCTTGATCCCTATACAAGTTGATGATGGGGGCCGATCATTCCCCATCTACAAGTATTGTGTAAGTAAAAAAGTATTTTGACATCTATCAATCACTGAAAGGGTGCATATTTGTTCAAATTCCTAAATGCTTCAACCAAAAATGCTTGAAAGTCCATGTTTTTTTCCCCCAAGGCAATGTGAGAACGCGCCGTGAGCCACGTACGTACTTGCTATGTTTGTGGTTGAGTGGGTGGGCTGGTTGGTGGGAAAATGGGTGGGTAAGCGGGTTGGATGACAGTTTACCGGCCCATTCTATTTGGGTGCATTATACTGTTTCCATGCCATGCGTGTATCACAGCTCTGCAAGTGACTTTCGTTTTGATGAGACTGATGCGCATGCGTCTAATTTGCATGTTAGATCATGTCCCATTGCATTGCACAATTCGCGGTAATACTGTTCAGTTGTCGTTGCGAAGGCTGTGATCTCATGTACACCGAGTGACAAGTTTCAAAACACGCTACAAATTACTCTGTTTGATTGACTTTGGGACAGTGCCATTTTATTGTTTTTGCAAAGTTTCACAACATATTTTTTGGCGTAAAGGGTCGGCCAATGTGACTTGTCGCGATATCCAATTTGTCTATGACTGCATTGATTGCAAGATGAAAACACTTATAACCAAGGGGGTTTTTTTGGCAGCAAATTTTTAAAAAATCATTGGACACTACTAAAAAAAACACCAGGGCTACAATTGAAGGTTCCTCTGTATTTTCGGACGTAACCTGGTTAGGATTAGGGTTTGGGTTAGGAGTTAGGGTTCAAATAAATGTCATTCGTGCAGTCTCATACCTCATTAAAAAATGATTTCAGGGCCATTTTCAATGCGCTCCTGAGTCGAAAAGTTTGATGTATCGTGAGCGCGATGCTTAAACTAGATCCGATGCGAGGGCATCAGCTGGGTTACCCGCTGTGGGTTGTACCAGTTGGTACTTGTTATCAAAACATTTTACTATCAAATGCAATAGTTGTATGCCCCATTACCCTGCATTTGTTACACAGACAAACATCTAGTTAATTCTGATGCGGGGGCAGGAACCTGTGTTATACTTATTATTATACAGTTTTTAATTACTTTGTTCAATGCTTCATTTGAAAATTGAATTACTATTAATACTCTGTATTGCTAAAAAATAGCAATATAAGAATAAATCTATGTTTAGGTCTGAACCATGAGAATAGCACAGCGAGTATAAAAGTATTTCCGAAACTGTGTGTCTTACAAGTATTTGCAAAACTGTATCTCCAATTAAGACATTGCAGTTATTCACAATCATACATGTATGGTGGTTGAAGACCGCACATTGTTCATTTAATTCTACCTGACCGGGCTTTAAAGCAGGCCATGTATTCATTAGGTATTTATATTTAATGGGGACTGAGAATAGTGACAGTGCATTTATATACTGTGCATGTGTTAAGTTTGAGTTCTTTACCCACAGGTCCATGCAAAGTTGCAGCCATCCACAATCCTGAGCAACGCTTGCTTGTGTTGGAACTTGGAAGCAAGTATGTCAAGGTGATCAACATGAAGGACAGCGATCTTGTTATGCAGTTCCCAACAGTGGAACAGAGCCAGGTTCGCAAGACACAGATGGACCTACAGAGTTTAGCAGTAACAAAGAACAGCATCTTAGTAGGCGACATCAGGAGAATGGTGTGGACTGAACACAGACCCACTGATGGTGAGATTCTACACACCATACCAGTGCAGACTCCACCTTACTACCTGGCTGTTGATGACAACACTGATAGAGTTGTGATCAGTGGATGTCACACTAAGGAAGTGGAAGTTGCAGATAGGAAAGGTACTGCAATATCTACCATCAAACCAACAATCAATGGTAAGCCAGTAGAGTGTCATGGTGTATGCTGTGACAGCTCAAGCATCTACCTTGCAATTCACCAATCTAGGGAAGGCACTGGTCATATTCACCACTATGACCTAGATGGCAGGTTTCTTGATTGCCTGGCTCAGGGTCTGTCTGGCCCATATGGAATCACATTCACATCATGTGGCCAGCTGGCAGTGGCTGACCGCCACTCCATCAAGGTGTATCACAAGGTGTGATGTCATCCAACATGACATTGACAAGCAATCATCATCATCCCAACAACAAATGTTGAGGATGAAATTGTCCAGTCATTACAGCACCAATCAACATTCATGTCCCACTTATTCCACATCTCTCCGCAAAAATCCAAACACCAACACAAACTGCCGATCCCTCTGATGTAAACCATTTTACTATACAAATTCTTAAATTAACAGTGCATCTTTTGTTACTATACCAAGTCTTATATAAACAATGTATTGACTACAGTTACATTTGATTTGATTGGGGGACAGTTTGTTGTAATCTTACATGTACGATTACTGGAATCTGAAATTAAATGGCAAACTTGAAAGGAGAGGGGAGGTGTTGAGGTGTTTGATTGTAACGACCGCCGCCTGCTCAACCCAACACCCCTCCCTCACCTCACCCAGTACATGGATTGCCATAAATCTATCCAATACTAACCAACTTTTTGTGGTGTTTCTAAACCCTGGCTTTGTTGTGGCTTCCGCTTCATCTCTGGCACTAGATTCCTAATTAGAATCCTACCACATTCAAACTCAGTGAAAATACACCAACCATCCAATGGCCTTGTGTGACAGGATTTGGTACCTCTAAAGAAGAAAATGGGCCAATATTGTACTGGAGTTACATCAGGGGAAAATAACCATGAAGCTTGAAGCCGAAGCCAGGGACTGAGCGTCGATTTCACTAACACAATTAAGATTCTGAAATTGTTCCTTACAGGGACAATTAAGATTCTTATTTGTTCCTCATGGAACTTGCTGTACATGCTGTTATCTTTCATAACTAAGATTTGAGAAGTCTATAGGATCATTTCGTTCTTCAGATGCAACATTCTTAAAAATGATCTTGGATTAATTATAACTTAAATGTATTACTGTTGAAATTAGTGTTATAATGTACATTATTAGTGTTCAAGATAAGCCTTTATTACTGAAACACTGCAAGTTGACTTGTCCAAATGTATCCTAAAGATGAGTGACAAAGCTCATTCTATTCATGTGGTTTCAGATCTTCATTCACAGAATAGAGAATTGTGTTGACAGTGTTCATGAGGTTTATAACGTGACCTCATCAGAGGCTTTTAATAGCAGAAGCCAATGCTGGACATTTCGTAAACTCCCCACGATTCTGATATTTGTTCCTAATGAAATCTAAATGTAATCCACTATATATTGTACTTTTGTTAATAGAAATTTTGAGACAGTTTTAGAACCACTTCATCCTTGAGATGTAACCATACTTCAAGTAGTTTGTGAAATAATATCGTTTCAAGTCACACATCACCATGATAGATAGTACTCAGATTACTGTTCAATATAAGCCTTTATTTTACACAGTTTTTATACTTCTTTTTTTTGAATTTACAATACACTTTCATGTATATTGAAGATAATTTAATCATTGAAATGTTTGCTAAAGATAAGTGGAAATCAATTTGGTTTCCTGTCTTAATTCACAGAACAAGATTCATGTTTAAAAGATCGTTTTATCTTAATTTTACATTTTTTCTCAGACTGTAAAATATCCCTTCAGTTTGAATGATTAGAAATCAATTCGACTGAAGCTGAATTTCAGAGCGCCATACGGCCTGAGTTGCCTTGATTTTGGCCTGACGGCCACCTTGAAAAGGTCCCACACAAATAGCAACTTTCTAATCCAATTTTTTTCCTCAACAAACCCAACAGATTGCCTCATCTTTTCATGAATTTAATTGCACACCTCTGTTTCATTGTTTTGCATTTTTGGTTGCCATTTCAGAAAACTTGAAAATGAAAAAAAAAAATTCAGTTTGGGTTTCAGCAAAAAATATGAATTTGTTTGCAAAGTATCAATATTATTGTAAAAATTAAATGTTCAGTAGATTTTTAAGTGTTTATCAATTCACCAGTGTATGTAGATTTTAGTAGTCACAACAAGACTTTGTAAACTCCCTTTACGTAAATTCTTCAATTTGTTCCTAATAGAACATGCATCTACTCATTGTATACTGTGTTATCTCTACATTACATTTTCTGATAATAGAAATTACAGCCTGTACAATAGTAATTATTCTGTATTTCTGTTAACTTCACTTTTTAAAGCCATGTAGGATCATTTGCAATTACCCAGATAAGTACCTACTGATTTAATGACAGAAACCTCAAAGTGAAGATAGGACTGGTAACAAATACCCTGTGAAATAATTCCACCTGAAATGGTATTGTCAGAAAACAAACATTGAAGATGGTTTCAAAATGGCGTGCCTACAGAATCCAGTTACGAGATCCAAAGACTTGTGCATTATGTTTTCTTTGTTTTCTCCAAAATGTATAGTAGCCACTCAGCTAAGACCTGAACAGAATGCTTGTTATGCACCCTACTTAAAATTTGAGCACTTCTGTTGCTTCGGAAAAAAACCTGCTAAAAGCATACACACTATAAAAGTTAATCAAGATTACTGTAAAAATTAGTCTTTTAACATTCACTTAGTGTCTTAAAAAAAAAAAAAAAAAAGCTTTTTGTAGTTTTGTTCACTTTTGTAGTTATAGAAATAATCTTTATTGTTAATATTTACAAGCTTTGTACATTTGCATTCATATCAATGAAACTATAATGTTGACTGCAGTTAAATCATCAAAATGTCTGCTAAAGATCAGCCACAATACTTTTCCTGTTAAGTTGGTTTCCTGTCAGAATTCACAGAATACAAACTTGTTTTTACTGTAATCATCAGCTTTTATCTTAATTCTAATTTCAGAAGAACATTACTGTAAATTTTCGAAACCAAAATGCAAAGTGTGAGTCTTTAGATTCCTTGGTTACTCAAAAATACCCCCCAAAAAACCAATCCATTTTGACATGATTTTTCACTTATATATGAAACTTCAGGCGCTGATTTCTGAAAACAAGGTTTTGGGAGACATCCCTCATTTAGCCTTAGCAGGTCACATTTTGTCTTTGAAGGTTAAAAACTTGTTCAAGTGTAAAAGGTTGCCAGTCATTTTAACAAATGTTCAAAATCAATTGTATTGAATTTCAGGAAGCTATGGCCTCCGTTGCCTTGATTTTTGCTTGACCGCCTCCTTGAAATTTCCTTGCCTTTGCTAGAATTGCATTCCAGACTTCTGTTTTCATTGTTTTACATATTTGGTTGCCCTTTTAGAAAACTTGACAATAATTTTAAAATCATCCCCCTCACAACAGTTTGAGTTTTAATTTTCATTAAACATTTCAAACTCTATTGCAGCAATAACATATTCACACAGCCTTGTAAAATAAGTTTGAAAATGAGCAGAAATAAATTAATTCAGTCATTATTTGGAAAAAGAAATAACCCTCTTTGTAGTTCTTTGTAGTCGCTCTTTTCTTCAGCTAAAAATTAAAAAGAAAATGATGCCTGGATATAACTATATTGTTATTCCAATTGGACTAACAATGTACAATGAAGATATAATTGACCACTTCCGAGTAAGGAATTTGCTAGAAACTATCACAAGTGGTCAAATGTGTGACTAATTACAATTTTCTACAAGTTGTGGCAATTACGAAATTCATCACCTTCTTATTTTTTTGGATTACCTTTGCTCGATACATAAAGATGAAGACAATTTTATGAGTGGATTCCAGCCGGCCAAATAGATTCCAGATTTCTTGGACCAGGCTGCAAGTCTTCATAGCCGCATGACAAAGTCAATGGTTTCACCTTTTCATCAGACCCCAAACAATAAAAGTTGCACAGCGCCCTCTATTGACAATGACTCTCCCTCCCTTCATTATTGAGTGTACTGAAATAAATTAAAACAAATTTGGTCCCCCCAAAAATTCCGATGTGGGGTTAAGGGCCCGGTTAAGGCCCTGAAAAAAATTTGGATTCTAAATGATCTGTGGTGCGATCTGAGGCATTTTCTGACCACTTTAACCAAATCATTTTTAAGGAAAAGATGGTGTGTACGCAGTGCCTGCCTTTTTGTGATGTCACTTAAAAAAAATTGTCTGGTTTTTTTTTGGGGGGGGGGGGGCATGGCCCTGGTTGGCCTCGCCCGGATCTGCCCTTGAATACTGAAATCAATAAAAACTAGTGGCCCACGGACCACACGTGTCGCCCTTTTCCACGGTCGACCCCTATAATTATGATTTGTGTTCTTAAAAAAAAGGTTATATTTTGTGCATTTTTAAACGATGTGAAATTACCCCTAGATGACCTTTGACCTCCAATTTTCAAAAGACTTGTGATGAACCCCCATCCAAGGTACACTCCATCAAAGTTACATTAAAATCCATCAAATTATGTAGACATAGAAACATTTGAAGCATATTTGAACAATACGGATGTCAATCATATGGACATTCCGCTCACACAGAATAGTTAGAACTGGTGATATGAGTGTCTCCCGATTTATTCGGTTGGACGACACAAGCATTGCCACTATTTTGTTTGTCTTGTATCATAGAAATCAGAACAAGTTTCTCGAAGGGCTGATATTTTATTTCCTTACACATTATCAAATTTGGCTATTGAACGTAGGGGATGACTATTATTCTACATTTGCCTACAACTTTGGCTGTAACTTGCAATTTGCCAGCTGGAACCCTGACCATGCAATACAGTTCTTGCTACCATCTACACTTGATGACTTATATGCAACTCCAAATGATTAGGCATGCAGTACGTAGGCCTATATCAGCAATACATTTAAAGTGGACTTCAAACGTTTTAAAGTAGATATTAAAGGTACATGTACAGAGAAAATATGGAAGATTTGAAGACCGTCTCGCAATGGCTACAGCCAGGGCCGTAGTTAAGTCCCTCATAAGTCTTTCAAAAGTCCAGTCACAAGTTACGAGATGAACAATGACAAATAAATGCTTTTGCAACAGTACATTTGGAAAGTTTGTGATTTGACTTGAGACTGAGGGACTTGTGAAGGACTTGACTGTGAAAGCAGCTGAATCTGCATCCCATAGACAACTGTTACTGGCTATGACTATCAATAACACATGTGTCTATGAAATTAGCTGAATCTGCATCACAGACACGTGTTAAGCGGCCAGCAATAACACATGCACCTATGAAAGCAGTTCAATCCGCATCCCATACACACGTTACTGGCTACGGCTAGCAATAACACATTTGTCAATGAAAGCAGTTGCATCTGCATACCATATATGTGTTACTGCTAATCATAGCCCGATTATTGACACGGACTCCAGATTCAAGACAAGACCCACCTTTGGATCGGTGCAATGAAGTTGCATGGTGTCTACAAGGTTTCAGAACGTTCCTGCCATTCCATGAGCTGTCACCCCTCCCACATCTCCCATGGCCATGTTATGATGCATGCCAGACATTGGCTCATTGCTCAGCAAACTGGCTGACAGGTGTCTGTAGGAAATATTTACCAGGGGAATAAAGTTATAGCTCGCAAGCATGATGATGTTTCAATAGTGTCTTGAGATACACAATTAAGGTACCTCTTCATGAGGTGTTGATTTCTCTTTTGATTTTCTCAATGATCGCTGTTCAGTTTTTGCTGGTCCCAGAGGGCCAGCCTACAGTCCTCTGTACCTCACGGATCAACTCACTGTCACTTGTGAGCTGGGCAGTGCTGTTGTATAGGATTACCCTGTAACACCAATGAATGGGCTAAATCAATTGAATAGGACTGTGTGTACTCTGGAACCAACTTTAATTGCCTTGTGTTGTTGTATATTGTTTTCAAGTCCTGAACTCATGCTGATTGAGTGTAGTGGGGGTGATGGAGGGGTGAGATGCTTACTTGTTCATTTGGAAGCCATCCTCTCTTGACAGTGTCTTGATGGGGGAAGTTAGGCATCCTGTTAGCTGCTGTGCCTGGTATGTCCTCTAAGTTGCTACTTGGGATCCAGTCACCGCTGCTCCCTAGGGAAAAAATTCAGAAGAAACAACAAATTTGTTTTAAATCTGCCATTTATATGAAAAACATTTTCTTGAATGGATGACGACTTATATTTTGCTAATCCACATGTCCTATATGTCCATTGGGTAATAGAAATCACAGTGGTCTATTTTATAATTATATTTTCATGGCCTGAACTTAAATGTTATCGTTTCCTTCTGAGTTTGATTTTACAGCATTTTTTTTAACCAACAAGGATTTTTAGCTAAGGTCTCCAATTAGGATCTTTAAGTACCGAGCCAAGAAAATATGAGACTATTTCACACTCCTATTATCTTCATGCTCCAGATATAGTCAGTTTTCATGCATCTAATGAAAGTGTGTGGTAAATGAAAACTGAGCTTACCTGGTGTATAAGCCCAGATGCTACTCCCTGGTGAACCAACAGGGTCACCCAGATCACTGACCGGTACAACAACAAAGCTGACAGGTGTCTTGCGTTGCCCTCAACTACGCTCATTGCTGATTGGAATTGGTAAGCGGCTATCTTGACCAATGGCTGCTGGAGGCGGGGCCTGAGGCTGTTCAGCTGCCATGGTGACCAGACTGGATGTGATGGTTGATTAACAAAGCAAGCCTCCATGCACTGCTCAAAATGAAATTGAAATAAAATATTTTTTTGCGGAAAAACACATAAATATAATGTCTTTTTTTCATAATTTCGCAGGCTATTGTAATCGTTAATTGGCTTTACGTACATGTAGCTGTGAGGACAACTTGTGAGTACACACAAGGAGACAGTTTACAGATACACCAAGTGAAGTGACTGTCTAATAATAAGGGAATAAATATGTGCTTGTCTGGTTTTGAACAAGTCCGTTTAAGACCAGCTGAAGGCTTGGGCACTGATAATGGCCCGATGCGAAAAGTCCATTTTTATTCCCATTCATAAATACGTTTTCAGTCAAAAAGTCAAATCAAGTAAAAAAAAATATAAATTTCCCTACGATTTTGAAGTAAAACACGGAGTATAGCATGCTGGATTCAGGACAATTTTCATTGTATACTTGATTTTAACTAAAAAGAAAGGCAAACACTCGAAGTACATTTTGATATTTTTTGGAGTGGGGTTTGAAATTCACCATTTTTGAAGCGATGTTTCAGAAAGAGAATACAATTCAACAATGACAACATGAAAATGACTGTTTTTGTTACAGTTCATTTGAATGGCTAGCGATTTGACTTGAGACTGGGGGACTTGTGATGGACTTGTGATGGACTTGTGATGGACTTGTGATGGACTTGTGATGGACTTGTGATGGACTTGTGATGGACTTGTGATGGACTTGTGATGGACTTGTGATGGACTTGTGATGGACTTGTGATGAATTGCAGGGACTTGTGATGGACTGGATTACAAGACTGTTAAGCAGAGGTCGTAATGAGGGTTTGTGGGTATTGGGAAAGAGAATAAAACTCTCCCTACAATACTGTTTGTTGCATCTCCATCAGACATTCCGTTGACAAGTTATGGCTATTTAAAGTAAGTTTACATTTATCGACATGTCAACTGGGAAAAAGACCTTTAAGGTTTCTAGGTTTGTATGTGAAAATGAATATGCCAATTGTTTTTTAATAAAAAAAACACTTTTAATCCATGATTTTATATTTCTTTAAAATATCTGAACCATAGTAGACATATCAAACATTATCAATTTCAATAAATCTGAAAATAAAACTTCCTTTCGTCGTTATATTTTTTTGGGGGAGGGGGCATTTTTCTCCACTACAGTCTGACGTGCCCAGTTCTGTCTCATTTTGCCAGAACACCCATGCCAAAAGACTTCACTCCTTTTCCGTCAAAACTATGCCTGCATCAACAATGTGTAAAACTCGCGGGGGGGGGGGGGCAAAAGTTTGTACTCACAGTCTGGATGCGGCCTCTGTTGTGCTCTCATCCCCTTCAATTCTGTACACGATGTCATACATGACGTACTCAAGCTGTCTGCCTTGGTGGTTGTGCCGTCGTCAAGGGGTGTGTACTTCCCATCGTCAAGGTAACCATTAACATTGTTGCCAGAACAAGGCGGAATTTACCACCTGTTTTTACAGAAAAAAAAATTAATAAAAGAAATTAATAAACTCCCCTAGACTTATAAGTGCTGGTGGTGATGTAAATTCCATGCAAAAATTTTGTAAATCAGTTTATTTTAATACTCTTGTCTGAAAAAGAACCAAGAATTTGGGTCCTTACAAAACGACTGTGTGAAGGGAACACTTGACAGTAATTCCAGCTGACCACCAGAATAAATATCTTGTGAACACAATGCAACATTACTGACATTCAAAGCAAGACATGCACATGCACCGGTATGTAAGGTTTCTCAAAAATTTAGTAGAATAATTGAAATTGCAAACTATTCCAGATACTGGCCATGAACCCTAACCCTCTTCAATCCTCCAAAATACTCCAAGTGGTTTTGGAGGACTTTGGAGGATTGAGACTGAATGGCAAAACAAATGTCAGTTGATTTTGGAGAAACACTGTATCAAGTTTGTAGGCTGTATTGTTTATGTGCCCTGCATTATGCTCAATATCATTTGTTGGAGGACTGAGGCAATATTCACCCACTGAACAAATTCAAGAAATAACAGATGATTTTGGAGGAATGAGGTTTTATCTAATTTGTACAAAGTGCCAATTGGAACATTTTGAGTCCTACCCAACAAATACAAAACAAATGTTTGAAGTCATTCTTAATGATAATTGAATTGTAAAGTACTGGGGGTGTAATGGGGACAGGGAAATTAAAAATGTCACACTTTGAACAATAAATTTATTGAGTGACATAGATTTTACATATGAAGTGGGTAGGGGTTGAGCTGGTATTGTTGTAAGTAAAACAAGAAATACACCAAAATATAAAGGGAGAGAGAAAAAAAAGAGGAAACTTTGGGGAATGAAACACTTTGGTGGATCATGTTTTTCCACAAAAGTTAACCAAAAAAACAAGAAATTTACTAAAAAATTCCATCACGCCACTTTCCAACAACGATAGAAAACTGAAACTATATGGTACACATGTAAAACATGCACAAGAGAAACATAACCCAACATCTGGTGTGGAGGGTTGGAAAGTGAATTTGCAGTTTTGCTTTCATTCTGAACAAAGGCTATGAAATTGGAACAAGGAAGTAATATACTTTATTGTTATACCTCTTTGAACTCTCCCCCATGAGCACACATACCTGTCCAGCATGTGACTGTTGAATACATGCATATGTACACCATGTCAAATATGCCACAGTGCTACATGTACCTGATGTGCAATGTGCCCATGATCATCATATTGATCAGTGCCCCCAATAGTCAGATGCTGTTCAGACCCCCCCCCCCAAAAAAATAATATTCAAAATTGTTCACTTTCAAGTTTCCCCGATAGTTTGATGGTTTTCAGCTCTCCTCCCCCAACCATCAGCACAAAAGTGAGATTTCACAAGTTCAAACTTGAAGCAAATTATTCTTTTTTTTCATTGTTTGGTCCAAGTTTCGGTAAATTGTATTTCAATGTCTTGGGCTCAGAGTACATGTACTGTTGGAAAATGGTCATCCGCTTTTTCATTTCTTGCCCCTGCCATTTTATAATGTATTAGTCCAGACTGTGTTTTACCTTTAAAAATAATGGACTGACCCAGAGCCAGTGAGTTTCACATCAACAAGGAAACAGAAAGTTGGCATAATTGTTCTTCAAGCAATGATCTTGCCAACACATGTATTATAGTTGTTCTGTATTACTGTATTCTTGCCTGACAAACTCTCCATTATTTCTTACAGGTATGTATAGATTCTAACTTTCATTTGTGATAATTAACATTCATAGATTTCCTTTGATTTAAGCATTTGTATTGTGTTTATTTTACACTGAAGAACAAAGTACTGCTTCAAACAAAGCAGATATTTTAGGTCAATGCCCTTCCAGCTCTGGAGATTTCAATGACTTTTCCAGGCTTCCAGCATGCAAGTTTGTAGTTGAAACAGAAGAGCAAATGGCCAAGTACATAAAACTTTGTACAATGTTTTTCAGTTTTCTATGACACTAGAGGCCTTTTCACACTAGACAAAATCTTGGGGGTGGCCCCGGGGTGACGCGGAGGTGAAAATAAGCCATGTTAATTTCACACTCGAAAGTTTCACCCCTGCGTTACCCCTGTATCACCCCCTAGATTGCTCATCCCCCTAGATTTATCCCCGGGGCGAGACACTTTCCCTGGGGCGAAAACTGTAGTGTGAACAAGCAGGGGTGAGTTTGCCCCAGGGCGAGCATCAGAGGGTTAGAATAGACTCTAAAGTTTGATGTAATTGCAACAATTCATCTGAAAATACGGTACCTTGCGAACAATGAGCACTTTTTTGGTGGCTTTCGGTCGTGGCTTGTCAACCGAAGCAAATCCAACCATCCAGGCAAGAACAAACGGCTCGATCAATCGTTGTCATACTAGACCGCAAGTTGTAAAAAATCCAATAAAAACGTCAGGAAATTTACCGATTTTTTTTACATAAAAATCCCCACTGGGTTTTATTCCTTTCACTTCTAATGTATTTACTTGTTTTCGGGCGCCGGAACAAGGAAATTCATGCTTGCGCGCGGTGGGGAAATATATCAGAGTTTCAACGATGCAATGCAATACAATTTTAAAAAATTAAAAGTGGAACCTGTCAAATTTAAATTGCTAAAATAATATCTGAATGCTTTTACAAATACTCTGCTTTTATTTGGTAGATTATCAATTTTATGCCGTCTTTTTTAATGGTTCGTCGCATGCACGATGCATGATCGAAGCACATGTAAAAATAGGGCCAGGGCTCACTGTTCATGTACATTTCGAGGATTTATTGAGGCAAGTTTTGTCGCATATTTTATTTTTTTTTTTTAATATCTCTATTCGGCAATGAAGACTCAACATTTTTCATAAGTACGTTGCCTTAGAGTTTGCCCCGAGTTTGAAATCTCGAGTGAGAAACGGTCATGCAAATACCTGGGGACGAGATAAACACTGTTTGCGCAAAACGAGTCTGAAACGGCGCAAGGTTGAACTCGAGGGTGAAAAATCAAAAATCACCCCGTGGTGTCCCCGGGGATGGGTGTTCTAGTGGGAAAAGGCCTTATAATTAAAAAATTTTTTTTAAGGAAATCACCTTATAAGTTGGAAAGTTAAATGCTTGTATGGCTCTGCTTTTCCAAAGTGCTTGATATTTCTTTTTCATTTGCCATTCAGTTATCATTAAAAAATGACTTTTAATAAGGGAATAAATGTGTGCTTGGGAGGTGTTAAACACTATGTTTAAGACTAGTTGGAGTCTGGAATGCTGATAAGGGTAATAATCAGCATCAAACCAGTCTTAAACATAGTGTAAGATTCCAACCAGTCTTAAACATAGTGTTTAATACTGACTAAGCACATATTTATTCCCTTTCACAAATACCTTTTCAGACAAAAAATGAAACTGTTCAGGTAGTTTGTTTACATAATCACTCTTGACTGTATAAAGAAGTGCATGCACAATCAAAAAATAAAATCATGTCTTAGGTGTAACAGGGAAAGGAAAAAGTGGACCCTACACTGATTGAATGACCCATGCATGTATTGATTGAATAACCCATATGTGCATGTATGTGCATGTATTGATTAAAGGGAAGATACAACGTTTGCAAACATCACAAAACGAAATGATCAAATTATCACAAACTACCAAACTGGATTGTTAGGGAATGACAGTCTAAAGCATCCTGTAAAATCATGGCTCCTGGTGTGCAAACATTTACAAGAAAAATGGTATTTTTCCAACGCTGGTCGGCCGACCAGCGTTGGAGGAAACTGGCTTTTTTTTCAAAAACTGCTCCTAATTTTTCATAATTAGTTATTCCGCGTTTTCTTTGCAATTGATTACACAAGGGGGTACAAGCCTGCTAGACTGATTCTCTGACCATACAATTCCCAAAAGTCTATAAATTCTCCATTTCATTTTAAATGGGGTCAGGGAACCAGACTACAAGAATATGAATGGTTTTCTTGGTTTTCCAGCATCTACTAGCCCAAAATGTGAAACAAGTCATTTTAACAATATTTGCTTTAACATACTAATCCTCCGAATCGATTTATTTCTGAAAAGTGCAGCAAAAGCAAATGTTGTACTTTCCTTTTAAATGACCCATGTGCATGTATTTATGAATGAGATTTCATTTAATTTTCTATTCAGAATCCCATGCAGTGGAAAAGAGGGGGCAGTTGGTCCCTCCCCCAACCTTTTTTTTAAGGGAATAAAATCTAGGGCTTGGGACTCTCATGGGGCCAGTGCGTGTGAGTATTCAGTACAGTGTATATTAGGTGCAAACAAAAACTTGTTCCATTGTTTGGTCCAAGTTTCGGTCTCTCTATTTAACCAGTTGAGGCCAGGTTTATTTTGACATTTGATATTTTGGGCCTCGCTCACTGCGAGCGGGTCACTGACAGGTATTTCCGGCCTCGCTCGAAAGTGGTGCAAAGACCTTGCAAATATGTTTGCCATATGCAATAATAGCTGTCAGGCAAAGTCACTTACATGTACTGGCTGACAGTCAGGCATTCACTGGCTTGTTCATCAAGCTATAGTTCAAAACCACTCAGTTTGGTTTCACATTCAGTTGGCTTGTAGGACTGCACTGGCTGGCAAACTGACAGACAGACTGACAGACAGGTAGTTATCAATGGTCAGAAGAGATGAAAGTCTGATGTTGGTCAACTCACATCTATTCAGTTGTGAAAAAAAAAATCAATCCCACAAAATTATCTTTCGTAGCTTGGAAGTTTATCCTAAACAGTTTGGAAATGATCATTTGGCTGGTACTTTGGCACATTACTAATTTACAGGCTGTGACTTAGCCTGTAATTGTATGTAAGCAAAAGCCATGAGGAGTACCCCTGATTACAGGTACCCGATTCCATTTTAACAATTTTTTTAACCGAATCTGTCTTTGTAAATTTCGACACAAAGGCAACAATAACTTGCCGATAAATTGCAAAAAAAATATCCCAGTAAAACACCCTTGAGTCAATTTATACCAACAATTTCCCGATGTCTAGATTGTGGATGAATCAATGAAGAGAACATCAGTGAACATCACTAACTTTGCCACAATAATGACTCAACATCAGGTTTACTGTATTATTTTCCACACTTAGAAACTTACAATTTATTCACCGAGTCTCTTAAATAAAAAGGAATGTAGTTGCAAAGCGGGGCCATTTTCAGTTGTCGAACGCAGGGCAAGTTCAGTCGCTTCAGCAGCTTGGCAGGAGAGTGGGCGGGGAGGCGGTAAAAAATACTTTACTTCCGGGATTTTCAAAATAATCACGGGTCTTCGGGTACCTGCTCATTATGGGTAACCAGTCCCAACAAAACGCACACCCCTAAATGTAAGTCATGGACCATTCGCATGGTTTTGAATGTTTCTCTGTAATGTGGCTGGAGTTACATCCTTCCTGACAGAAATGAATGGACATTGTGAGATGACATATATATAAGGCAACTTCATATTCACTTCTTGAAATGCTTGCTCATCCAACCTAAACATTTCCAAAGAATTAAATACACAAAATTCTGGGTTGTCTGACCTGTGAAATCTGAATCCTGCTCAGTAACACAAATGGAAAAACAACTTGAATACTGTCCATTTCAATATCTGAAATCATTTCAGAAGAGAATTAAAGATGTACTCTCAGTGCCCTTCAAAACTTGAACAGGAATTCCAAAAGGAAATAAAAGAGACATTTTCTATTTGATGTCTTGTTCAAAAGTGGATATCTTTTGTCTGGCTACAAACTAGCAATTCAAAAGAAAAGTTATACATATACTTTTTATTCAGATTAAACTCGCATGGACAGTGCATCTTTAATGTATAGAAGTCACACCTTTTAGTCACGTTTTTTCATTACTCTTATAGTAACCATTCCATTTTCTTTTGAAATACTATTTAAATACAGATAAAAATGGCTAAGGCTCTTGAAAAGATAAGCAACCATCTTTCCTGTGACATATGTCAGGAGAAATACAAACGGCCCAAGGTGCTGAATTGCCTGCACAGTTTTTGCGAGACATGTCTGGAGAAATACTACACTAGCAGGTATGGAGGTCAAAAAAAGATTCCTTGCCCAGTATGTCGACGGGAGACGGTACTTCCAGAGACACGCATTCAAGACCTGAAAACAAATTTCCATTTGATGGGAATAGTTGAGGAGGTCTCACTCCAAGAAAAGGTCGCTTGTTCAGAAAACACAAAGGTCATCTGTGAGATTTGTGATGAGGGAAATGAGGCCATGCATCGTTGTCTGGAGTGTGCACAGAATATCTGCCCAAACTGTTGCAAGACACATTTGCGATTTGCTGCTACGTCTAACCACACAGTGGCTACTTTGGAGGACATTCGCAAGGGGGAGGTAACAGTTAAAAATACACGAGAAGAAGAAGAGTCTAAATGCCACAAACACAAGGGGGAAGTGAAACGCTTTTACTGTGAGACATGTGAAGAGTTAATCTGCCGAGATTGTACTGTAGTAAACCACTGTAAACCAAAACATCACTACATTGAGTCAGGAAAGGCTTCTCGCAAATACAAACAGTCACTGAAAGATATGTTTCCAGATTTCACCACAGACATCAAAAGACTTGATCAAGCTTTGGCCACTTCATCACAAGCTAAGCAGAAATTTACACAGAAAGTCACAAAGACTGTGAAAGCTGTGCAAGACAAAGCGAATAAAATGAGAGCTGAGATCACAACTCAAGAGACAAAAATGATTGAAGAAATCAAACAACTCCTACAGGAGCGCAACACAACATACGATGAGCATCAGTCAACAGTGAAAATGATGCTTGAAAGTAAACAACATTCGCTAGGGACATCTAAGGATATCATTAACACTGCATCAGACAGTGACTTTTTGTCCCTATACCCTATCATCAGTAAAGACTTGAAATCACTCAAGAGTCAAAATCCTCCCCTGATTGATCCCAAGCTTTCATATCTAAGCTTCAACCCGAGTCAGAGGATTGGTGACATCAATCTGGGTAAGCTGGAGGTGGAAGCAGTCAAGTGGGAAATGTGTCACAAGTTTGGTAAAAAGGGAAAAACGTCCAGGAGAGTTCAATGGGGCTTGCAGTGTTACTGCTATTCAACCTGGTGAGATTGCTTTGGCAGACTTTTGGAACAAACGAGTGGTCATCTGCAACAACAAGGGACAACACAAGGGAACCATTCCCATAAAATCATGTAAGTTTCTTTCATGCACATCTTCATTGATAACACAGACATTCATAATTGTGTGGAATTTGTAAGTAAACTTCCATATGCACATGCAGATCAGACAGCTGAGAATAAAAAAGTAATAAATTACTGGCAAGGAATTGATGTGCTGGCAGTGCTCTTCGACAAATTTGATTTTGTTCTCCCGATCTTCAAACCTTCAAATTGTTCTCTTTACATGTAGGCCTATCATACCAATACAAAACCAAAACTACAACAAAAATCTATTACTTTCATTACTGATTTCAGTATGTTTGGAAGAAAAATTATTTTTAATTTGGGGGGTTTGTCCTTTAGAAGGGAGAGGGGTTGTTTTATGGTGTCTTTGCAGACAAACAAAATCACCCTTTGGTTTTGTCTTCGTTCTTCTTTAGTGTTTCGGCTCTGCTTTTTTTTTTTAGACAATAATGCTCCAGGACTTTAATATAAATGGAACAACGCATGAACTTCAAAACTGGAATGAACATATCCACCCTGACACTGAAGCGTGCATACAAATGCCTTGTCATGATGACTGGAAATATGTATGAGTATGCCACAAAATATTTGTCTTTCTGGGGGTCTTTTGTTTTAATTGGATGGGTAAACAGAGGTCACCCTCTAGCGGTACTTCCAAAAACTTTTTTTCTATATATAAAATTCTAGTGCCAAAAATTTACCAAATTGCTCGTAAATATTCTTTGTACAATAAAAATGTACTTAATCCCAAAGTTTCATAATGATGACCTCATCAGACCAGAAGTTATTGTAGGAAGACTTTGAAAATACACATAATAATTTTTTAATTTTGAATTAATCATTGCTACTTTTAGTGATCATCGTTACAAAAATAATGTCAGCTTCATTATCAATGATTGCCATCCTAATGCTGTGACGTCATCAAACTGGAAGTCAGGTGTCATACGTTTTTACAAACACATATCAATGTATGTTCCTATTATATTTATATTTCAGAACTTCTTTTTACTATTTTGCATAACCTGTCTAAACTACATCAACGTCAGTAGTCATTGTGCACATTTTTACTGATGAGGTCATCAAACTGGAAGTATTTTGAAACCTATCAATCTCTAAAAGGATGCATTTTTGTTCAAATTCTTAAAATGCTTGATCCAAAATGTTTGAAGTTAATACGTTTTTCTGCCAAAACACATTTACAACTGTGAAATATACCATAGTGACACACCCCATCACCCTGTGTTTGTTACATAGACAAACGCAAACCTTTAGATACATAATTCTGATAATGCAGGAATCAGTGCACTTTGCCAGATCTGAATAATGAAAGGTTTGCGGAAACACCATGTGCGAATAATTTCTTAACTAAGAGAATGGTTCTGAAAAGAATCAGAGGTATAAACTCGACGTTCCAGTCAGTATGCTCTGACCGTCTTCAGGAGAGTGCCTAAACTCTAAGAAAGTGAATACTTAAGTAGCAAAAGGCGAAATCAATGAAGTGCAACACAGAAGAGGATCTCCGCTCCACCTTGGAACCAGTCCACTTCGACAGGATTTGTTCTCTCACTACTTCTTCTAGCCAGTTTGTGTTCTCCACCACTCGTCAGAAACAACTTAGGTAATTCTACCGCCTGGAACGCAAGGAACGGAATACTCCGACTCCTTTCCACCGTAACCGTAGCCCGCCAACTGGATCAGCTATATCCTGGCGTCGTCTATCTCGCCTACATAGCCCACCAACTGGATCTCCTATATCCTGGCGTCCGTCTTCTCGCATGCGTAACCCGCCATCTGGATCTCCTATATCCTGGCGCCATCCACCTCATCTCCGTAGTCAAGACACCTTCACCAAGCATACGGTAGTCAACCTCAGCTGTCGACAGCTGAACAGTACAGAAACGAAAGTTCTGTCCCTTGGCATGAACTTTGCTGTTCCTCCAAAGTCCGTACCGATCGAGAGCATCATCCAGTCGACGGAGCCAGCCCTCAGACACCTCACCAAGACAGCAGCCAACGACGTCTGCATCAAGATGAATGAAGTCCTCCGCAAGGCTCGCCCAGCTAAACCTAATCTGACCAAAACAGAGCGGTTTGCTGTCAGTGACCTTCGCCGAGACAACTCCATCCACATCCTCACAGCAAACAAGGGCAACGCCACCGTCGTCATTGACAGGAGGACTACAGCAACAAGGTAAAAGGCATACTTTCTTTTGTTTCATACCGCTTACTCCCCAAGAACCCCATCCCCGCCATCGATAAGCGAGTTGCCAGCCAACTTCTCCTCTTGCATCGAGCAGATGCATTATCCACCCCCCTCTACAGACGACTCAGACCCTCCAGTTCGATCTGTCCCAGGTTCTTTGGTCAACCAAAGATTCACAAACCTGAGATCCCTCTGCGCCCCATAGTTGCCTCTCGAGCTTCCCCCACTTACCACACAGCCCAACACTTAGCCAAAATCCTCAGACCCTTGGTGGGTCAG